ATTGATCATAAAATTTCATCCACACTTAAAGTCCTCCAGAGTTTGGCTGTGAGCTGTCTTGCCGTTGAGACTTCCAATGCAAGAAAGCAGTGATCTAGATAACACCAAGATTCACAAAATTCTCTTCACAAGTTCAAGATCCAAAGATTTTAACTAGGATTCAGTGCTGCCCACACTGCCTGGTGAAGCTGCAATGGATATCATTGAGAGCTGTCTGTGCAAAGGACAGAATACAGCGGTTTTAAATTCTATTAATCAAGATAGTCTCTAATACTTCATGCGTTGCTGCCTTCCTGAAATAAGTGAAATAATTTCGCTAATTCGTTCATGTCAAATATACCAGTCATACATGCTGAACAATGAGATGAAATGGATTATCCCACATCTCAAGGGCCTAAACAATGTGATCTTTAGAAAAGCTTATTTTAACCGCTATCATGTTATGCAGTATCAATAAGCAGGAGCTCTAATTACTGTTAACCATGTCCTACAAAAAGAAATGAAGGCGCAGATGGGAAATGACTCTTCTCTGAAGATAGTATATTGCCAGAAATGACAAATGAAAAAGATTAAGCTTCAGGGATAAAAAATGCTATTATGCAGTCTTGATGCTAAAAAGTACAACAAAAATAAAGAATGCAAACATTTTGGAAGTTCGGAGTTAATGAAGGAGGATAACAGAAATGAGAGTACTTGGAAAACTGAGTAAAGACATCAGAAGGACTCCAGAAGGTTATGAAAAGAACACTGGCATGACTTTCAGTGCCACAGCTAATTTAAAAGACAACATAAAAACAATACGGGACAAATTCCAAACAGGCAGCCAAGACATCATGACTAAGCAGAGGATGAAAAGAGAGCCGTAATATGTGCATATCTCATTTTTTCATCTTCATATTGATGAAAGATATTTTACCTAAATATTTACGCTTGAATGTCTTGAAGTTCATGGCTGTGAATCAGATTCATAGAATCAAAGAATGGCTCAGGTTGGAAGGGACCTCAAGGATCATCAAGCTCCAATCCTTCTGCCACAGGCAAGGCCACCAACCTCCATATCTAATACTAGACCAGGCTGCCCAGGATCCTATCCAACCTGGCCTTCAACAGGAAGGATTTCTTAAATCTTGAACACAGACTTAAAGAATGAAATATAAAATATGACTGTCTCTGGGAAAGAGAGGTCCAGACTTAGCAGATCCATTATAACTCCTTAACTGACGTTAAAATTCTGATTATTATTCACCAGCTACTGAAAAAATGCATCCTACATGTTTGGGTCTAAAGACCAGAAAACAGAACTTTCAGAAATCAAAGCTTGGCCTAATATATATGTTACATACATACAATATTGTTACAGCTACTACATTATATCACTACAGATATATCTCACTCAGATACTGAACTAAGAGCCACCTCTACTTTATTTACATTTTCCTTGACAGTGCTGCTCTGATTCTTGTAACTGAACAACCGAGTTGTAGAACCAATACAGTGTGCAAAGAGGAAACAAGGCTTAACCCACCTTTCATCTGCAGGGGAACAGACTTTTATACTTAGAAAATTCACAAGGTAAGAGTTAAATTTATCTACAGAGTATGTAGAGAGCAGAATTACAATTCCTCCTTTACAGAATGGTGTCAAGACTCAAAGCCTTAAAATTTTATTTCTACTTTACTACAGGAGTTCATTTTTTCCCTCCACCGTAATTCAATGCAATTCAATTGAATTCACCCTGCAGGGCATGAAATTCCCAATAGCTCAGGTGGGACTTCAAACTGCCTTGACTTTACCTTTTATTAGTGCAGCTAAGCACAGAAAGATTAAAGAAAATTCTGCTTTAGGATGATTTACTCGACACTAAACCTATAACTACAATTTATACATGAATAGAACAAAAGTATTGTTTACAAGGTAGTTATTTGAAACTATGCTTCTTAGCAGAAAGAACACATATTACTGGAAGCCACAGTCAAATTCATTTTCAACTTCTAGTTTACTTTGTATTGACTGTACTACTTTGTCTTGTATGTAATTCATGTTCTATCACAGCTTAAACAGCCAAGAAATATACTGCCTGATATAAACCACTGTACCAACTTAATAAATACATGGAATTGTTGTAAATAGTATACGTAAAGAGATTAGTATACTTTAATATAGGCACACACAGAGATATAATAAAAGAACTTGCCCACAGATAATACAAGAAACTGTAGTTGCATCTTCTCCAATCACATTAATAAAATTGTTTAAGAACTTCATTTTTAAATACACATATATTCTAACTAAGTGAGACAACTATAGCATCCATGTGATACAGACAAAGAGCATTTTGCTACCTCATCCATATAGCTAATTATACCGTTTATTAATTTTGGGGAAAAAAAATCCTAACTCATTTGTCTCAAGGAAATTATATGCACGTGCATATCTGCTGGAAGCCTTACAGGTTGCTTGTGGTATTGGAGGAAGAGACCTCTAACAAAGAGGAATTTATAGACACAGTCACTATACACTGCATACAGCACTTTTTTTTCTTCCACACCAGGGATGATTTTTGTTGTTTTAGTTGGCAAATTTTGCTGTTAAAGCCTTGAATAGCCTGAAAATTGCCTTTTCTGTCCTCTCCTCATATGCTATACCACAGCTGCAACATTCAGCTGGAAAGCTGTTGTCTATTCCTATCTCTGAATTGCCAAGCTGAATGGCAGTCAGACACATACTGAAAGGACAGAGCTAAATGGGGAATTATTTTTATAGTCACAAGAGAGTCTGAGATTGCTGCATTCAATATTTGTCAATACAAATAGAGGGCAAATGCAATATTTGAAAGAAAGGACAACAGTAGCTGTGGAAGGAATTCCATTTACATTACGTGTCTATCCATTTGTATGAATACAGAACTTTTAAAATTATATAGAAACACTATCTATTAAATATACACCATATCCACTTACAAACAGATTAACTAAAAACATATTCAGTGATTGGAAGCAGGGCATAGATAAACAATGTATCATCAAAATCACTCCATTCTTTTTGTTAATTTTATGATCAAAATATGAGGTCCTTATTGAAAACTCCAATAACAATTACCGAAATTCTGGGAAAGCTTAACAGACTTTTAAGGATTAGTTATTCGGAAGGTGAAACTCCTTTCCCACACACTTCTGATGCACAGAAGGATGATGCAGTGCTCTCAAATCAAATTTCTCCAAAGCCACGTTTAGTTGCCTAAATAATAAGAATGCTGGAGCTTTTGATTTCCAGGCCACCCTAGGGCCATACTTCTTCTTTAATCACAAGTACTGCTCTGTACTTCCTCCTAAAATATATGCAAAATAAACAGTGCCTAAAATCTGTTCTTACCTCTCTTGGAGCATCTTGTAGGATGACAATATAAAAATGAAAATATTTCAGGTAATTTGATCAAATTTAAAAAAAGCAAAAAGCAGATAAATTGCATTGGACTCAATGATCTCTTTCTGACCTTTCTGACCTCCACAATTCTGTGATTCTATCTTTGCTACCAAACTCTTAATCCTTTTACTTCCATATCTAATTTGAAACACTCATACAAAGTATTGGAAGGTTTTGTAGTTCCATTTAGAGCATCTAGACATAAATTGTTTCCGTAGAAAAGAAAGTTCCTTTTCTCTTTTCTCGAGTGAAACTTTTTGATTTATTTATTTATTGAGGTCCTTTTTAATGCTATAACCTAAAAGCAGATGAGTAATACAAATTGGACTCTGTTCTTTCTGAATAATCCTAGGAACATCTGTAGACTGGTCAAATCATACAAAAGAAGAACATAAAGAGGGGAGAGAAGACGCAGGTGAGCTAGAATGGAAAAGACATCACTGAAGGCTTTAGAAAACTGGAAATTTGTTTGTTTTGCCTGGTGTATTTTCCTTACCACCTAAATCAAGACTTTCAGTTTAATCATAATAATACCTCCAAGTTCAATTTTCAATGTTATTTCTTTTTGCTTTTTGAGAAGCACTAACCACACAGATGCCCCAAATAACACTAATGCAGAAACCCAGAAACTGCTCGCTCAGTGACTCGCAAAACACTTATTCATCCTCTCTATTTTCTAGTCGAAGTACTTTCCTGAAAACAGAGAATCACAATGGGGCAGGATATCAGAGAGGTATAGACAAAAAATACTCCTCACGCATTTATGATCTTATGAATATCAATTACCTACATACCTTCCCTGAGCATTTATCCATTCTCCAAGCATTTTACAAGCTATTTAAGAAAAATCATTACATTCTTGTAGCATAGTACCTAGAGAACCCAGTCAGGCTGAAGCTGCATTCAGTACCCAGCAATGAATAAAAGAAGCTACACAGTTGCTTTTTGTTTTTCCTTCTCATGGGTTTTCTTGGACTGAGTTTGGAAGTGATTCATGGCAGATTATGTGCAACTGCTAGTGAAGTACAATAAAGGGTACTAGTGAGTCGAAAGAGGAAAAGCCACACAGATCCTGTATACAGAATTCAATTTCATGAAAGACTACTATGTTAATAAAAAGGCAAATAGTAAACAATTCTGAAAGGAATGGTCAAACAACCAATAAAAAACCCAAACATACCTGGAATCTGTTCAAAAACAGTGTATCAAAATTCCCAAAGCCCTGACTGAATCTATAAACCTAAGACTATCAAAGGAAACAATTCAGAAAAACATGCTGAGAGGAAAAGATCATGAGAAGCTATTAAAAAAATCAGGTTAAACAAAAAGTGATGTAAGAAGGAATTTGACAGTATACTCAACAGTATCAGCTGCAGAGGTGTTTGTTATCAGGTAACAATCTAGAAAAATTAACCAGTATATAAGCATACACTACAGGGCATAGGCCTTGAACTCCACAATTCCAGTGACTGCAGATGATGTGAAAAGTGAGGCAGGCTCATGTGCTCTGTAGGAATAGCATTTGTTATCACCATTGTCACAGGTAATACTGATTCACTTCAGTACTCCCCTCTTACCTCGTTTTGGAGGTCCCGGATCATTCTGCTCTTCCTTTCCATTTCTGTCTTCAAAAAATTAATCTACAAGTTGAACAAAAATACTGAGCACGTTTCTGAAACTTAGCTAAACATCACCTTAAACTCTTTTTTTTTTCTTTTAACCTTATTCATAGCTTAAAAAAAAACAACAACAACAACAACAAAAACAGTCCTAATAACAACCTATCTTGGGAAACTATTGTTAAACCAGATTGGTGTAGGCCATCACTTTGTGTTTCCTGATTGACCTACAAGTGGATACCATGACATTTATTGGGAAACTTAGAATTGAAGGAAGAAAATCACTATGCATAAAACCCCTCATTTGACTTTCATGCTAGCAGATATAGCTTTCTTTGTAACCAAGTCCATGGAGATCTTCAGAGAACCAAGGATTTTTTTTTTTAACAGTAGGTTTCTAACAGTTATTAGTCCTAATGAGAACAGATCCATGCTCCCCATCAGTGTAGTTTATTAGAGTATTATTTTTCCTTAGTCCTAATTCTCTCAGGAGAATGTCAATGCTCCTTCAAACATATCAACTCTAAATCTGGATACATACGAAATACTGATAAAGATATGGCACTGAATTTATTGACTGTGCTGTCTGTACATTGCTTGTAAATATCAGCTTGGGGCAGAGATAGTTAATATGGCCAGCAACTTGCATGATGATTTTAACCAGTCCCAACATAATAATGGACTACAATATTGTTTCAGAATTTCAAGTTGAGAAGTACAATTAAAAAGCAAATAACAACAGTGCACAAACCCCCTTTCAAGTGTACAAATTCTGCTTTCAGCCTCCAAATCCTCATAGTGTAATATATATGAATGGGCTTTTGAATTCTCTTCTACCAAAGGCACACAAGCTGAAAAATTTAACTATGAAACTCTCTACATCTTTCCCACTTTCTACTCACTTTTTGTTCTTGTTTGACATTCAACTCTTTCCTAGTGTTGGCTTTCTTTAATTACTGTCTAGCTGTAATTATGAAAACACATAATGAAAATGTATTAGTGTTCTAAGGCTGAACTCTGCAATATTAAGCAAGGACACTGCTTCTGTCTCCTGGAGACAGACACTCAAGGTACGCAGAGCTTTGTGTGCTTCAGAGCTCATTACATTTATTAAAGGCAACAGCTTCCATCCAGTAGCCTTTACTCAACAGCAGAATGTGACCTTGAAATGCTGAAATTAAATTTTCCCCCACTGAAATACAGAATGCTTTAGCAGATGGCTGCGATCTAATTCTAAGAGACAGACAATAGTTAGTTATTCACCACGGAGGAAGGATGGAGTAATACCAACATAAAGTTATTACTGCACAGTCAATGCTCAGCTGTACACTTATTTGCTTACCTCCAGACACCTTTTACATTGCTTAGGACTAAGGCAGGAATGATTAAGATGGGACTGAAATACCTTTACTGGCATATCTGTAATACCACTGTTAATATCCATTAGCTCTAGCATACTCAGTATTAGTTTTCTTAATCTAATTTTCAAGTTACACCATAGGAATTGACTCTGAAAGCCAAGAGAATAGTAAGGTATAAAAACAGGAAATATTCTATCTTTTGAGCAAATGAGAGAATAATCCACAACCTGTTCAATATTTCTGAAAGCAAAGCTAAACACATTTTATGCCTGTTAGGATTCCTTAGATGAACTTAAATTTAAATTGTAACTTGTAAATTAATAAAAAAATAATATATTTCAGAATGAAATGGACATCCCATCTTTTTATGAGTTATTGGTGCTAAGAGATCTGGCAATAGATTTCTCACAATTCAATCCTGCATGTTCTATTTGTGTTTTATTACTAAGAAGGTCCTAGTGATATCCAATTAACCATATCATTTTTGCTTAGTTTTTAACAAGTCATGCACAATGAGCTACTTAATTCTAAGTTTTCATAGCAAGCACTAAGCAACTAGGAAAAAAGATTTTACACAGATGTATTTTCTCCTCTATTGTGACAAATCATACAATAATTACACTGTCAATTCCACCACTGCCTCTTTCTAAAAACTGTGCTTTATAAAACAGCAGCAGGAACAAAATGAAAAAGGCACTCTAAACTTAGCCTACCTACCCTACTTTCCCTATTTATTTTCCTACCCCCTCCCTGTTTCTGTGGTAATTTCTCATTTTCATTAGAAAAAAAAAAAACAGTCCAGCTGGTTCTACACACTGTGATTGAAATTAATGGGAAAGAGCTTTAAGTAGTGGCTCCTTTTCACATACAAATAAAGCTATGATTTGACTTTTTTTAAGAAACGTATTCACTGCAAAGCAACCTATTATAAACTACTACTTTGGTATTTAGTTCTAAAAAGTTCTACCAACTTTTACTGATTGCTAAAGAAGACAGCAGGTTATTCCTGATTGTCTTATACTCCCATGAATGTTTTATATACATGTTGTACACCTAAATCCAGTATAATACTCCTAACAAACTTTATTTTAGAAACACTTTTGGACAGACAAATAATCCACAGTTCTGCTGAGAGCTGGCTAGTAGACCAGAAAAGATCCTCAAATTCCAAGCCTTCTGGAAGACTACTTGATCGTGAACTTTGCAACACAGGGCCATTGAAAAATTCAAGCCATCCTCATCAAAATAGTTTTCCTCTGCACTTTTAATCATCTTGCACAGAGCAGTTAGAACAAGAGGTATGAATTTATCATTCTGCCATATAACTCATCCCAAGATAGACTGACGCTCTTTGTACGTTGGTGCTACAAATACAGATGACAAAGGACCTAGAAAGGGAAAGAGTCACTCTCACTGAGGACCGCCAGTCTGTCCTCAGCATGACTGAAACTGTCAAGGACAGGAATGTCTTTGTGGTTCCTCAAGACTGAACCTCTCCTTTGAGCCTCAAAACAGCTTCAGGAGTTGTCCACTGAGCCCTATCACTACCTCGGAAAATCCACAGAACAGCAACTTTTTAGCTGTCCTAATGTCCTTGGCTTCTTTAATATCGAAGAGTTTATATTTTATATATATATATATATTATTAAAAAAAAAAAAAAAGAGATTCTTCCTGAGTAGCAGTCAGCACTTAAATCACTTAAATGGGATCAAGGAGAGGTGGAGCCAGGCTCCACCCCTTCTGGTAGCACAGATGAATTACTTTTACCTGTGCTCCTGTGGCTGACTTATTGCTTGCCTCAGGTCAATCAGAGGTCCAGGCCATGATTCAGCAGTTCCCATACGCTATCTAACCAGATGACAACCCTCTACTTTAAGTTCTATTATAAACTCAGGGGGGTTTGTTGTTATTTGTTTCTTGTTTAATTTTCTGTAATGGATTTGTGCTCTCCCAGAAATATTATAGTAGGGGCTGAATTTATGCAAAGCACCATTTCTCAAGTTAAAAAAAAAAACAGTGCTGCATGGCAAAGAATAAAGCCAATAATCTCTTCACCTCAGCTGATATTTATTTTACCACAGCCAAGATAATCTTGAGTAACAAACAGTAATATAAAAATTAAATAACATGTTTTCCATATTTAATGTGGTGTGGACTAGAATTTGGTGTGTCACCACAGCTAATGAGAATGTATCAGTGCATCTGGAAAAAGACGAAGACAACTTTGGAACAGCATGTTTTGAATTTGTAACGGAGAGGATCAGGCCCTAATCTTTCATTTCAGAGTGATATATCTGTTTACAGTCCAAAACATCTTCAAAGAAGTGTAGATTTTTTTTTTTCTATATATACTCTGCTCAAACTATTGAAGAAGATTCAAAATATACCTCATTCTTTTCAGGTTTGGTCAGAATACTGCTTGCTTATTTCTTTCCCCTCAAGACTAGATGAGGGCTTTTATTCTCTAGAGAAGCCTACAAGTACTAATAATCCAGTAATTATATGCTGTGGAGGAACATTACTGTAGCGTAATGTGGTATTCTACTTTAAGCACCTAGCACGTAGTTTAGATGTCATGACTATCTACTCTGGGTCAACCTGGTCCACAAATTGGAACAAAGATCTCTTACTATGCACACTGTAGATATATCCATTGATTTCAGAGGGAATGTCTTTAATTCCTTAACATTAAATAATTGAAATAATAACTAAAATAATGAACTCATCTCTTTTTCACGAAGGACTGAAAGCCACACAGAAATCACATCAAGGCATTTCTGAATATTTGCTAAATTACTTATTATTACATACATACAAGTACCCTTGTACTGCGAGCCTGAGAACTGGTAAAACATTACTAAATAAGCCATCAATTACAAAATATGAAACTAAAAAATATATCCACAAACCCTGTTAAGAATCACAGAACACTTGAGGTTTAAATAAATTCCCCAAAATTATCTAGTTGATTAATGCTCAGCAATATTCGTGTTATAAAATTACCACTGAACAACAATGGACCACTGTCATGGTTTTGTGATTTTTGGTTTACGGTATTCCACATCATAACACCATGTGGGGCACTGGGAGTTGAACTGTTAATGCTCAAGTTCTGGTTACCTGCCCAGAAGAGAAGGAGAACTACGTTCCCCAGGGGACTTTGCGGTCACAGAGAGGAGATAGAACTCCTGGCAAGGTCACCTAATGCTCTTCTTTGTCCGCTCTTCTTCGTCCACTCTCCTCCCATCTCCCTGCTGCTCATCTCACCTCAGCGATGTGGTGAGGCCTATCCATCTTTCGGACATTCTCTCTCTCATTATATTTGATTTATTAGCTTCAATTTTAATTATATTGTATTACAGTGTGTTATCTTGCATTCCGATAATATATTTAGTAAATTAGTTTGTTTCTCCTCAGATTGTTGCTGCTGTTTTCAATTATTTTGGAGTCCCCTGTTCCCTTTTCTGGAGGTGTGGATTTTGCAAAATCCCTCCGCCCCGCTAGTCACGGAACTGGGCCGAACCAGCCCATAAACCACTGACAACCACTTTCATATTTATATCCTAGAACTAAACAAAGAATGATTTTTTCTTTCCCTGCAATAACAAAATTTGGCTGTTTGTGCCTTGAATTTATACCTTCCTATAGTGACAATGAGATCTAGTGTTGCCAAGACTCAGCTTTTTCTTACTTTTTTCATGCTGAAAATTAGTAGCAATTAAGAAAAAAAGTCAGTCGCAGTATGACAATGTGCTTTGGTATAGATGAGACAAGAGGTCCACAAACGTAACCTCATAAGGCATAAGGACTTGGGTCCAAATCTCCAAGATGCTGGATACACACACCTACATCTCACAGAAACTAGTGGAAAAACATCCGCATTTTCTGCAACATACCAATTTTATGCACCTCCTTTATCTGAACCTTACGGAGTACTAATACATATCTGAAATCTTAGGTTTTGTTTTAACATGTAAAGACATCTGAGATAATGCAAAAAACTCAGGCAAAGAGGATTTTAAAAAAAGACAGAAAAAAAAAAAAAAAAAAAAAAGGAAGAGGGACAGACTCACTCACAGTAGCTTGCTGCTTTTCTGCCTTCTCAGCTGCCTCATTAAGCTGCTTTTGAAAGGCCTCCTGAAGAGATTTCATTTCTTCCCTAGGCATTGAAAAAACAAAACATAAACTTCATCCCAAGAGTCCATTACAAAACCATTCTTCAGTTTCCAGAGAAGAGTGACAGATACGTTGTATTTACTAAGTGTCTTGCTAATAAAATTAAAATGACCTCATGAACTATAGTGCCAGTACAAGACAAAAATTTGTTCGTGATGTAAATTAGATATATTTTACATTTATCAAATGTCCTGTTGTGCAAAACATCTGCCAGCGTGTAGTCTCTAGAAAAAGGAATTGGTACAATAAAAGCAAGGGAAGTGGACTTGGAGATACACTACTATCAAGAACAACTCATTTTAGAAAGAAACAACAGGAAAGCCAATAGAAGATGCTGGAATACAACTGGACAAGAAGAAGTAATAGTTTGGATCGGGCAGTAGTGGATTCAAGATATTTTTGCACTACTAATGCAATCAGAGTTTCTCCAAGGTGATTAAAGCAGGCTGAGATCTTCTGGTCATCTCTTTTACCCACTGGTGACACATTTTGGAACTGCTGCAGAGTACAAGACTGACAAATTTCGTAACATTTGCAGAGCATTTTCAGGGCTGTTGCATCAATAAACTTTCCTGAATAAGGAGCAGCGCAGAATTGACTTTACATTCAGATGATAATTTAACCCAATGAAAATCAGTCTGGAGTGGAAGGCACCTGGCTTGTACAAGAACAGAAACTGTGAGCTGCTGAATCATCTTTTTTTTTTTTTTCCTTATTTCATAGCTCTTTTATGTTCACCATTTGGAGAATGCTGTACAAGCAGACTGATCTAAAATAGAGACCGAGCAGCATGAAACCAATGCATCATCAGCACAGACCAGCTCTATTATTGCATACACAAGTGCAACCATTCTGAAACGCCAACAGTGCATAAAATAACTAACCTTGAGATATCACACTAAGTGACCAAATTATACTTGCCAAAGTAAATTCACACTAAAGCAACAACAACAACAAAAATCTAACATGAAATCAGAAGGGCTACATTAATTTACACAAGCTGAGATTCTAGCACTCCAAACTTTATTGCCCATCACTGCAGAGCATAATCAAAGTGGTGCTCACAGACCAAGTGCAGCTCACATTTGTACAACCAAGTCATGATATATTTTGGATTGTAGATCAAGTACAATAGATTTAAGCAGAACAGTATCAAGTTCATCACTCTTCACTTGCTGAACAAGCATAACCTGAATCTGCTGGCAAAGAACATTCTATGAGGGGGATTTATATTGTTAACAGTGGCTTCTCATACTGCACTTCCATAGCTCTCAAAGTAAAAGTGAGAGCCTGTAAATGGCCATCAAGAGCCCACAGTAGATCCAAGGCATTTTTTTGGAGCCTATCGTAAAAGCCTTTTATTTTGTGCAAGAGGGTGAAGGCTGCTTGGTCTTACGCTGCATACTGTATCTCTCCAGGGTCAGCCTCTGAGAATTACTGTTGTGCAGAATACTTAGTGTTTGATACACTTAAAAGTCCACATTTGCTTTTAGGTAGACCTTAAGAGACTTCAAGGAGAGATTTAAGAAAGATATCAGGAAAATACATTTTATTATACAACTAAGAAATACAATTTTCCTTTAGCAGACTTTGTTTTCCTATCTGCAACTGGGAAAACCTATTTACTGAATATACTTTTAATTATTAAATAATGGTTTTAAACAATTAACATTACTATTCTATATAAGTTACACAACAATCTACCATTGCAAAACCAGGATCATATATGAAGGACACATCGCATGGCAAGAATAGCTATGATGCTTTCATTATAGCCATGTAACATGTAATTGTTTAAATACTGTATTAGCTGAACAAATTCTTTAATCATTTAATAGATTTATATGGAATATCTGAAAGACTCTTATCTATTCAATGCTTCTCCATGGAAGCAAAATTAAGAAGATCTGTAGTGTTTTCTTACGGCTCCAACTTGCTTTGTTTTAAGAACTGAAGGATCTTGCCACAAGCCATCTCACATTTTCATGTGTGCTTCTACTAAACACAGTATCAGCAGTAGGAAGACTGAGAGATTTAAGTTGTGTATTTCTAGTAATAGCGTAGATTACTATTTCTTTGTTTCCAGAGAAAAATATGAGATATAGATGCATTCATTACATAACGCTGTTTCAGACAAAGTGATTCCTATAGTAGTAATGTCTACTTGTGATTCAAGTTGTATTAATGTCATGATTTACCAGTCTGAACTAGAATAACAAAAAATAATAGGTCAGAGAGTGTTGAATAATGACATTACTAAGGAATAGGAAGTTTCATATTTAAATGTTTGGGAGAAATATGTGTACAGAAAAATGTGTGTACAGAATTCCAGAGAACTCCTTTTGTATCTTTGGATCTCTGCAGCGTTGAATGTGAAATACCTCACAATATGATTTTCCTGAGTACTGCCTTCAAATTGCTGCATAAAAAAATCCTTTTTCTTAATAGATTTTTCCCCAACTGATGTCCAGTATCAGCTCATATGTCTCATATGTTTCAAAAACGTCTCACAACATACCATTCCTTGCCTTTATTTCACTGTTACTATTAGGATCAGTAGACTCCAGGCTATGTAAGTGTTTATAATTCAAGGCAAAAGGAAGGATGATGTTTTCCAATATTGTTGCTTTCAGTCTGAAAAGTGAAAGGGAGAAAGTATATTCTTACCTTTGCTTTTGGCCCAGTTCAAGAAGTTTCTGCACATCACTTCTGGCTGATGCTTCATCATTTTTCAAAGACTGATAACAAAGGAAAAAAATCAATTACCAAAGAGATCTTGAATTCTGCTCATTTGTAAAATCACTGATTGGGATCCGTCTTGTAAAAATGCTCCCAGTGAATTGCCAATGGTGAGAAAAAGAGGAACACCCTGACTATGCTTTTACCGTAATTCAGCAAGCTAACTATACACATCATTTTGCAGCAAGCACTACATTGCATCTGACTGTGTAAAATAGATTAAGAAACAAACAAATGACTGAAAGCATTAAGGAGGCATGACAGAGATCAGTGTGTGTACAGAATTCCAGAGAACTCCTTTTGTATCTTTGGATCTCTGCAGCGTTGAATGTGAAATACCTCACAATATGGTTTTCCTGAGTACTACCTTCAAATTGCTGCATAAAAAAATCACCTTCTGAATTACCTTAGCAAAAAGAAGATATGTTAAAAAAAAAAAATGCAGTGGGAAACTACTGGTGGTGCTGAAGGTGGAGTTGGGTGGATGGAGACAACGTTCTGTAGGGCACCATACGCATTAATTTCAAGGAGAGAAGTCTGGAATATAGGAAAATATAGCACAACAATATACTACAATACAGTATTAGCACACAGTGTCTTTATTCTCCTGTGCAAAGATATAAGGGTGCCACTCATATTTTTCCTACCTAGCTTACATCAACATAAGGGTACATATGCAATGGCAGGTGAATACCATCCTTTAAAATGGTGTGCAATACCAAAAACCTCAACCAAAAATGAGCCATCGCTAGACTGACAAACAGTCTCAGGCAGACAGGCATGCTCATCTGGTGATTTCAGTACAGGATCCAGAGCAAGATCTCTACTTTTCACTCTACGGAACTGATACGACCGCAGAGTTAATCTGACTATCAATCTTTCAGCCTGCCCACGATACCCAGAAAACCTCCTTAGTTAATGCAGAAGTGTTCATCAGCCCTGGATGCCTAGCTGCCAGCTCTTCTAACACAGTCTGTCAGTTAAACTTGTAATCCACTGCAGTAAATCCAGTCAGTTGGTGTAGACTGCACGTCTGCAAAGTAAAGTTAGCAGCTACACTAGGCTTCGTAGGTGCAACTCATCAGCAAAGATGTGGCCTGCAACAGCAAATGAAATCCTATCATAGTAGCTGCCAGGTTAAATGTGCAGGGACTCAATTAAGATTATTTATTCCTTTCTGTTTCTTCTTTTGTTCTGCTACATTTTGTTTGCACACTTGCTTTCTTTTTTGTTTTGGTTTGTTTTGTTTTTTTTTTTAATCATCCAATTCATTTAGATTATGTTTTCCTTGAGACCATCCCTTTTACTCTCTATGCAAGGTAAACAATGCACGCTCTAAAATCAACAATAACAATGACATTTTTATTTATTAGCAGTAGATAAACATTAGTATGAAAAACACAAAGTAAGTAATTCTAGTCCCAGAAATCTCACATAACCTAACCTGGAGATTTACTTTAATTCCCTCGAGTTCTTTAGAAGTCTTCGACAGTTGACGAAGAATATTGCTCCTTTCCTTAAAGACTTCCTTCAGCTGTCTCTCCAGTTCTTCATAGCCCTGTCTAACAGAGAAAACAAAAGCATGAGATCCTCTCAAAACATTCTTCAGTGCACTTCAAAACAGTATTAGATTGCCCAGATTGAATTAATTAGAACTATACAGTATCTATAGGTTCCAGACTGGAATGTGGAAAGATCTCTCTGTCCACATACACAACTCCTTGTTTTCTCGTAATACAGGTCAAGAGATGCTTTGAATGCCTAAGTGATGTGCTGCATCTGAGTATACAAATCGGACTGAAACACTGGTGTATCGTCTGTGGCAAGCAGGAGATTGAGCAGATGTCTTTAACATGTGTGATGGAATATAGTGAGATCTCTCCTGTTCTGAAAGGCGGGACTGCCATCGAAGCCAAGTAAAACTTGGTATGAAGTTTTTTGACACCTGGTAATTTTGGGCAAGGACAATTCAGAGCTGTTTGAACTTTGCAAGATTTATTTCATTTAAATATTTCCCCCCAGTTAATCCTCACTGCAGTACAGAATAGAGCTGAGAATATGCTTAGAGGAATCAAATGCAAATTAATTTATAAGGGAGAAAGTTTTTTTCCTATCATTTCTAAAAACAGTAATTCCTACTTAGATTGCAAGTGTATTTTATAATGTTTCTGTAGAAATCCCAAATGACATCAATCCTACACTCTATTTTTGGTTCAGTGAAATACAGACCCAACTCTCATATACTATTTCAAGCAAAAAAACCCAAGCATCTCAGTTAATTCTAAAATAGCATATATTTTCAGGTAAAATCACTGCCTTGAGGAAGACTTATCAGCAAGCTGGAGCATCCATTCCCCCTACAAGTGCAGTATAAACCTTTTTTTTTTGTTTTGTTTTTACTGTCCTCACAGTAACTCTTTTTATCAAGGGAATAACAAAATTCAAGCCTGCAACACATGGGTGCTATTTTATGATCAGATAGAATTACTGAATCCTTAGAGTTGGATGTGACCTTTAAAGGTCATCCAGTCCAATTCCCTGCAATGAAGAGGGACATCCACAACTAGGTTGCCCAGAGCCTGATCCACCTTGCCTTGGTAGTCTCCAGGGATGGGGCATCCACCACATCTCTGGGTGATGGATTTCTTACCAGTTATATTACCCTCATCTAAAAAAGGAAAAACCACAGGTCTTGCTGGGAAACCTCTGAGAATGACTTTATGAACACACAGGGAATCTATATAAGGAGGTAATAATCAGGACTTGGTTATAAGTCACCTAAGTAATAACACATCAGAAGTAAACGATCCAGTACAGGTCACGGTCCAATTATGGATTTACAAGAAAATCCATACACCAAGAATGTGAACCCTTCAATCCACAATGCAGCATTTATACCCCACGATTTAGTTCATATGTTTTCTCAAGCTAATGACAGAATATACTGCTATATGAATTAAACCTAGCTACTGCAAGAACACTTGATAAATACTAGCATTCTAGTTGCATGCAATAAAAGTAAAATCTCCAGCATTAAGTTTTATGTAGAAACACTGACAGTTTTTGTGACTGCCCCAGCTATCTGATTTTTTAACAAGTAGGCAAAATAATGATCAGAAAGCTATCTCATCTCAGTGCCTCAGACAACATTATACAGAAGTCGCTTAATGAGTTTCAGAGAATACCCTCGTTTTAATTTGATAACGAACAGAGGTCAAGCAGGAATTTCCTCCTGCTAAGGGGTAATAAGGTAGTTTCAGTAAGGTCACCACTTCCATTCCGCCTTAAGCAGCACAATGCATGCATTGACCTTTTGCCATTGAACTGTCATGCTTTTGCTTAAAGTAAAACCTTGCATTAAAAAATCTGTGCAAGTGGTAATACTGTCTTAAATAATCATAATTAAAGACCTGCAAAGAACTGCCCCCTAACCCTCTCCCCCCGAAATAATTCCTTTATAGTTGGAGTTTACAGGCTCCTGAAGGGCCCATTTTACTATCCCCTAAGTATGTAAGTACTATTTTTTTAAATATATGAAAACAATTATATTGTAAACTGTATAAAAACAAATAGAACTATTTTTCTGGTGACTATCAACAAAATCCTATAAATCTGACTAACAAGATGATTATTAAAGGAATAAATGGTAAAAGATGTAAAGAAATCAGACTAGATACATCAACAAGAGATAATCAGCATGATCTCTCTAAAATCAGATGTGAATGGAAGGGACATCTTATCTATATTTAGGTAACTGAATGAAACACAAGGCTCTTTAAGAAGCATGGTATCATCCCTCACCATAGGAGAGAAAGTAAGCGAAACAATTTTAGGAGGAAAATAAGGACATGTTTAGATGTTGACAAGTTATCAGAGTGTGAACAGAGAATAGATTCTTGCAACTAAAATATAAGCTCTGAACTGAAAGATTTACTTATAAGAAATTTTAATGGCAATTTGGTAGTATGGGATAATGCGGACAGAAGTTGACTCTGGGATAATGTGCAACACTATTTTATGCCATAAGCAGCGCAAAACCCCAGTGACTGTCTGAAATCTTCCAATCCCCCCAAACCATCAATGTTACCTACTTGTTTTGCAATATAATTACAAGTAGGCAAAATAAACATAAATTCATTCCTAGGTAGCCCACTCTGTAATTATACATGTTTTAAATCTATTATCTGAATATTAGGTTACATCAGTTAGTCCATTCAGCAAAATGAAGTGTCATTTTCAGCAAATCCATCTGGAACTAGAATGCAAACACTAGAGAAAACAGATTACAGGAAACATTTCAACATTTCAGATTATAAATTTCGGTGTAAGAAGGAGAAATGTCTATCAACACCATCTCTCCATCACTACACCTCTGACTACTGTTTCTTCAAATATCAGAAGTTCAGCTTTTAGTCTTCAAAATAAAGATTAAGACTTTCCCCTGAATAACACGTGCAATGGTAGGACAAAGGAAAACTGGCTTTGTTTCCTGAGAAACAAAAGTGAGAAAAAGATTCATCCCAATTCTGTATCAGTGTAACTGAAAGTTGAAGAAAAGAATCTCTAAAATGAGTGAACTTGAGATAGAAATCACTCACGACAGCAGAGCATCACATCATTGCCTTTTCTCTTTATAAATATGAGCATTTTTGATCGTGAAGTTCAGGGGGAGGGAAGTTACTAACAACCAAGAAACAATGATCTGGTTATCTAAATAAAACACATAATAGGGAATACACATAATACAGTATGAATATAATATAATATCATCTAACCTCAGCTTCAACTACATTTATCTGATTTCAGTCAATTCTGAATTAGTTGTCATGTGGGAAAAAGTCAGATAGGCTTTACGCTGAACAGCAAATAAGCCCTTGCTGAAATACAGTCTGCCAGATATAACTACTTTGCACGCTCAAATGGCATTTTCATACTATGTTTTGTATTCAGGCATTATCTAACCACTGTGTTTCAGGCTGGAGAAAATACATTATAGTAAAAGGAACATGAAAAAATTGGGATTTAGGGGGAGCCAAGGAACATTTTTATTTACCTGACCTTCCATAGTTTGTGTACAAAATATTTGATTGGAATGTTCCTCTTCTACCTACTGAGAATCACACACAAGTATGTGGTTTATTAACCATGCAAAGAAAAAATCCCTTAGTCAATACTTACATGAATTCTTAAGCATCCTATGTATTTTAAGTGCAATAGCCCACAAAATGGTTGCCCTGATGCTTTTTATTGGGTTTCTCCACAACTATCAGCAAGAGAATCAGGCCCTTTTCATCCACTTCCTCTGACTTGTTAGTGCACGCACTCTAAGTAAAACAAAACCAATCTGGCTTCTCTTTGGCAGACGCTTGGCTCTGTAGAATCAATGACCCACCAGAGAAAGCACACAACTGCCAGTTCCCACAAAAGGAGCAAAAAGAGACTTCTGAAAACTTGTAGTTGGCTTAGAAACAAGACCCTGAGAAACGGAACAGCAAGTTGATGTGTTTAACTTGATATTGAGAATGACGACCCAGGGGAAAAAAAACCCAACAACTTTCATTTATCTACTTTAAACTGCACAGGTCACGAAAAGAGAGTTAACATCATGAGGAAGGACAGCACAAAATGTTGTGATTCCACACTAAAATAACTTTACCTAGAGTAATAAATCCTCACTGAGTTCATACAAATGTAATAAGGAGCAGGCACATAAACCTTCTGAAAGCTATTAAATTCTTCACAACTATTCAAATACAGACTGCATAAATATAGACTTGTCCTCTGCATGAAAAGTTTGCCTTTCACATCAGTTCAATAGGATTTGGTCTTCAGTAGGAAATACATTCACACTAAAATCTCTCTCTTTCTGATAGGTAACGCTGCTATTTTTCAGTTCTGACATTCCTCATCATTTATATCCACAACATTGCATCTGCCTTTGTTTTCTACTGCAGATCTAAAACTTTTGACTGTGACCTCAGTGTTACTATCCTCAAATACACAGTACATGCAGTAGGCTTAGCAGATAACCATAAACACTTTTTTCCAACAACTCTGACAAAGTCAGGTTAACGTTTCTGTCTGTGCACTATGTTAAGTTCTCTACTTACTGGCTACGAGTGCTAGCATAGCACACACACATAAAAACACACACGTCCAAAAGAGACGATACATCACATAAAAGCAACTTCTGTACATAGATTGTTAGGAAAGCTACATCAGAATGGAAGTATATCAAACTTCTTATCTTGGTTCCCAGATATTGGTAGAAAATTTCTTATTTCAGTTGGCTCTTACAGTACTGCATCTCTAGTCTCCCAAGACTTCCAGTCTTACCCTTATCCAGGGCAACCCAGAATCTCTTTTGGATTCACAGCAAACTTTTCAAAACTACCTGCGGACCCAGGGGTAGTCTGGCTGTAGTAAGCCTTGTTGTTTTGTTGTTTATCTCCTTATAATGAGTAGGTCACCTGCTCAGCAATTCCATCAGCAGATCTGTCTCTGCACATGCTCTTCAACCTGTTACAGTGGCAACAGAACTTTAAACAGAATAGACAGAAGC